GAGGGCACAATGCAAAAATTATGTCAATACGAACATTATAATTTTTTCATACCTCTAAATTGCTTTCTCCTTATTTTCTTTTTTTTCTGTTTGTTAAATGTTTTACAAAACTACTAGCTTAAAACTCTAATCTACTTATAGCTATAAGTGATTAGTTATTTATAGAACTGAACTACTTATTAATATAAAACAAACGCTACAGACAATAATGATACTTCTCAATTCCTTAAACTACATTTAACATAAAAAAACTACAAGTTCCACATCTCATTTCCATTAACATTCTGATATTACACCGCTGGAAAGTAGCTGAGTAGCAGTAAAAACATAAAAAAATAACAAAAACCAAAAACTTCAGGGCACAATGCAAAATTTATGTCAATATGAAAATCATAATTTTCTCATACCTCTAAATTGCTTCTTCTTATTCCTTTTTTTCACCTTCACCTAAGAAATGTTTTACAAAACCACTAGCTTAAAACTCTAATCTATTTGTAGGTATAAGTGATTAGTTATTTATAGAACTGAAATACTTATAAATTTTAAAAAAAACGCTATAGATAGTAATGATACTTCTCAATTTCGTAAACTACATTTAACATAAAAAACTACCAGTTCCAGTTGCTTTCTTTTTTTTATTCCTTTTTTTATAAGAGTGGTTTTACAAACCAACTAGCTTCAAACTTAAATCCATTATATTCATTTACGTGTAGAAATGTGTGGTGATTAGTGACCGTTAATCAATAATTATTTAGAAATCGTGAGATGCGGTCTGGTGTGATGTAGGTTTCAGAAAAACATTTTCTTTATCGTGCCAATGTTTCGATCTTTATTGGGATCATCTTCAAGGCTCAAAGTGTTTGTCTTCTGTGTAATTGTGCCATTCTTGCGTGTCGTGTTGAGAGTGCCCAATGGCACAATTACACAGAAGACAAACACTTTGAGCCCTGAAGATGATCTCAATAAAGATCGAAACGTTGGCACGATAAAGAAAATGCTTTTTTGAAACCTACATCACACCAGACCGCATCTCACGATTTCTAAATAATTATATTTATTTATTTTTATTTTATTTATTTATTTATTTTTCTTCGCAACAGCAGAGGTCGTATAAAACCTCAGGGTGCCGGTGTTTTTGAAAAAAAAGCCCATTTGTAAATATGTCGAGTATGTCGGGTTCGAATGCAGGGCCGCTGGATCTCACAGTGATGATGCCGTGTCAACGCACAAACCGTTGCGGCCACCGACGACCCTCAAATCCATTACAGCTGGAAGTGATTATAGAACTGAAATATAATAGATATTACAGAACCGAACTAATTATAAATAAAAATATCTCAACGCTACAGAAATTTTCTCAGAATTTAAAATTATTTTGTTCACAAAACTGCACATTACAAATCTCAAACCCAATGGTATTTCTCTATTATTCGTCCATAGCTGAGAGTTTCTTCATCTGTGAAACTAGCCTTGCATATGTGAAAAAATAGCAGAAATAAACAACTTTAAAGTAGCACAATGTAAAATTTATGTCAATACGGAAATTATACTTTTCACCTCCCTCTAAATTGCTTTCTTTCTTTTATTTCTGTTTTTGAAATAATTTTATATAAGAAATGTTTTACAAAACGGCTAAGCCCAACACTCTAATATATCATAGCTGGAAGTGATTAGTTATTTATCGAATTGAACTACCTACTTGAGACGAATTGAAATTGAACGAACTACTTGAAAGTCTCTCAACACGACACACAAGAATGGCACATCTACACGGAAAGCAAACACTTCGAGCCCTGAAGATGATCTCAATAAAGGTCGAAACGTTGGCACGATAATGAAAATGTTTTTCTAAAACCTACCTAATTAAACTAATTTGTTTACAAAGCTACTAGTCCCCAATTTGGAATCCATTGACATTTTGGTATTATACTGCTGGTGAGTAGCTCAGCTGAGGGTCTCTTTATCTATAAAACTAACAATGGGATGGTAAAATAATTCCAATATAAAAATTAAGCTCCTCTTGCTCGTTTAAAATTACTTTATCTGTATATTTTTATTAATATCATATAAATAAACGATAAATGGTGGAGGGATCAAAAACACCCATTAAAAAAATAGGGCAAAGTCGTCAGGTTACTTATAAAATTATAAATAAAGATCCTCAATGGCTTAAGATGAACTTTAGTCCCATGGGCTAATGATATAAAAATAACAATTACTTTTAATCTATTTTCCCGCCTTTCGCCAAAGAATAGAAGAAAATCAATTTTACTAAAACTAATATTGTATCACTTTAGTTTTTTTTTTATTTCTGAATCTCCAACAAAAAACTTAAACGGTATCAAAATCGATTTATAAAATTTTGCTCCTATCTTCAGAGAAAATAATCTTTGTAATACAATAATAATAAATAAAAAATAATAATAAAACAATATGTTACAAATCAATAAATGATGATAGCATTTAGAAATGTCAAGAAAAAAATTCAATTCGCCCCAAAGCCCGGGTCCATCGTCTTTCGAGCTGTCGAACGGAAGAATAAACTCCATTTTCCACCCAATAAAGAAAACCCCGTCGGCTTGTCTACCTTCATAAGCCTTCAAACAACCGTCTGTCGGTAAGTAGAAAATTGACTGCAAAAGCAGAATATGATTGCTCATACAATATAAAAATTTACCTGTGGGATTTTTAACAGCGTTTCCCGTAGTGGAGTAACGAAAAGTAATGTCGTTTATTGATTAATTTTATTTTAATCTGGATTCAATTTTTTTTTCTTTGACGGTTTACATAAAAATCAGTGAAACAAGGCTTTTGTTTCTTTATTGGTTGTAACCGTTTTAGCTTTTTGTAATTTTATTAGCAGTTTTTTTAATAATTTAATGATAGTACGTGATAATGATACTACGATAAAAAATAAAGGAAGCTTTCCATGGCCGAAAAGAGTATGATGGACGCCAGATCCCATGAAAAGTGCAGCAATTTTTGCCGCGTCAACATCAAATCGATCTTTTGCGTTATGGATCTCGCAAAATCCATTTTACATGGATCTCATTCTCTCGTGCCCTATGATAATACTTGATTATCAGTATTTTGATACTGCAGTATTTAAGAAAAATCATTGTTTGTTAGTTTTTTGGCGCTTTGTGTCACGACATTGTTTGTGTTATTTGCGTCATTCTTTGAGCTTTTGAATTGATTTAAGTAAGAAATTTTCTTGAATTGGAACAATTTTTATTTATAGCTTTGATAATGTTACAATATTAAAGTATAATGCACGAGATAAAATGCCTGCACCCAGAATAATATAGTAATTTTTGGTGTGCCAATAACAAATGCTTTGCGTTTTTTCAGATTTGATTTTAGAAACAGCTTGACTAAAATCATTATTTCCTTTTCTAGAAGTTCATATTAAGGGAAAAGATTTTTCCGAGAAATCTTGGATACGTCCTGATGCCATAAACAATCCATGGTGGTATACGTACTATTCAAATTTTTCTGTGCGACGGAACGTTAAATGGAATAATTGAAATTGACTGAAATCGCCAAGAGTGTTTAATAATTGTCATAATTAATGAGAACACAAGTAATAAGTGAGTATCAAAACGTTTATAGGTCTGGTATGATTTTGAGGTCATCTGGGAAAAGAAACCGTTCCTGTTTACGCGTAGCGTGCTGAATTTTTCTGATCTCTCGAGTCCATTCTTAACAGTGACTAACGACAAAAGTCATATTAATTGATAAAATGACAATGCATCGTTGTTGTTCGTTTCTCTCAAGTATCCACTCTGTCAGAATGACAGTATGGGCAGAACGAGTCCGAAGTAGAAACGCGCACTTTGACCTATTAATTACGACTACCAGGCCGACTGAGTCACCAATTGAGAAACGGTTCAGGGACCACCTAGTATTTTTATTGCCATTGGTAACAATGCAACCGTCCATTTTTCATAGCCTGGCTGAAATTATGTCAAAGCGACGTTAATTGTTTAATAAAATTAATTAATTGGTAGTAATGATACTTAGACGTGACATTATGCGATGGATTGTGCTAACATTGTTAATAGCAGGGCATTTTCATCTAATCAAAAGAGCAGGCTATTAGACGGTGAAATTGAAGAAAACTTTCTTTTTGGTACTTCTCATGGGTTGAAAATTATCTTTGTTGATCTTTGTGTGAACCCTGTTAAGTCTGTTAGGTCGTGTTAGATGATGACGTAGACTTGTAAGAATCGGCTAGTTAGCATTGCTCGATCTAACAGGCCAGGCCAATGTTAGGTGTTAGGTCGAAAATGTAGTCACATTGCTATTTGTTAGCGCGTAGGCAACCAACATGGCAGCCATGAATTTAACAGCTGTTTTTTGTTTACACGTATACATACATATTTTAATTAAAATAATACATTTCTTTTGTTAATTTCTGACCTGTCCTTATACTCTCATTCATAATAGGTAATACACCATCCCCTATGCTATAAAGTTGTAGGCTGTTAGACGTTAGGATACAAGTCAGTTACGTCGGCACTAATTGAAGCGGGTCATTTGTTAGTACTTTTCGAGTGCATATATAGCATTTTGAATGAAAGAATTGATAAATTTTCCTTTTTCTGGCATCTTACAATTTAACACAAAAGAAAACCAAAACAAACAACAAGCCTTCAAGGACTGTTCTAGCTTTATTTTTGGTTCTACCATTGCCAAGCGCAGCGGAAAAATTAACATTTAACATGCTAAGAAAAGAAGGGAGCGTTCACGATCATACTGGACTTTATTCCAGTTAACATCTTACAAACATCGGGAGTACCCCTAGTATTTACATCCATACGAAAAAGAAAACTGCTATTCAACAACAAACGGTCGAGAACATACAGATTAAATAAGATAGTTTTCCCTTTCAATGGTTGCACTGGAACGATCGCTGAAATCGTACTAGCGACGGTTAAAAAAGATATTTGTGTATAGCAAAATCAATCAATTTATTCTCAAGGCTTCTGAACACTGTCTTTCTGAGACGTCATCGACTCGCCGACGATAGTTGAACAGTGACGATTTGGAGCTCGGGCCGACGTCTAACTATAGAATCCGAGACGATCAAACCAAACAGTATTTAGAGAAACTGACTAACCGAGTCAGTCACAGTCCGGCGCCCACGCAGATAGGAGCCAAAGCAGATAGTCCTCACTACGGCCCCTGCCTACGTCTTCAGGTGAGCCTTGGCAATATGGGTCACGTCTGTTTTCAAACAATCGATTATTTTAAAATAGTACATGTTTTTAATGGTTTGATTGTTATGTTCCAATCAAACGAATGCATGAAGCTTTGGTGCAGACATATCTAACATGAATCATTTTTCCGCCGGTCTTGTAAAGTATTGATATTTTATTTCATGTGACGTATACCAAACAGACTAAATTTATTCACACTATGAGCACCATATTCAATCCCTACATTTCAGACCGAAAGGCAGAACAATAACTTCTTTATCAGACTATCGATTTAGATCAAACAGTTATTATATGAACGATTTATCATGTGTCAACATTATTACATGTGATTATCCTGTGTACAAAAAAGCAAGACGTTCCTTTTCCTTAGGAATCCTTCTTTCTCTGTAGTGCACTATTAGCTTCCATTCCAGGCCAGCGTGTCTCAGCGAGATCGTTTTCCCACGACGGTACATCAGCAAATCCCGTGTTGATAAACAGAAGGGGCTGTAGGTAGGCGTATAAAACAGAAGTAAGAATCTTTCGTCCCACGGAATCTAAAGGGGCCTCTAGGAATACATATCCTATCTTTGGACGTGGCCATCGGCCAAACGTCAGTAGACGGACAAAGGAATGTCACCGTCCGACCTACAATTCCACCCACTAGATATTTAATTCACTTTGCAGATAACAGACACGGGGAAATGCATCTTAGTCGATCACAAGGCAAGAGTTAAATTATTTACGTTAAATCCTATAGGTCTGATAGAGTGACAAGAGCTCTTTTAAAAGGAATTGTTCATTCAATGCCGCAATTCAGTTATAAATCATTCATTACACGCCTAAAATGAGCATGTCGTATCAAATCGTTACATCGCTTGGGTTAAATGTCTTTGTAATTCTTTACTTTACCTTTGCTGTCGAAGTTCCGAGAGAAGCATCAAAACGGACTTTTGTTGTGGATTCGACTTCTCACCATGTCCATGGCCATCAATCCTTCCAGATTCAAAAGGGCTATCCTATTTCCACGAAAACCAAATCTATATCAATTAGATTAGAAATTATCGTAAAAACATCTAATGTTAATGCAGATTTTTAAATACACTCACTCAGCAATGTTCTTCCTTTCAGATTTATCTCATTTTTCTATGACAATACGAATGTAAGCGGTTTTCTCTTGTAAAGAGGGCAACGGTTAAAGGAGCGATCAACCGCCAAATACAACGTTGCTACGGAGACGTAACTGATGAGTCAACAGCACATTCTTGGACTTCTAATCAAACTCAAGCCAAAAATATAAATTTAGTTCCTCATGACGACACTGTGAGGTGCAAAGCTGGTATTTTTGTTGACTGCTGGAATTTTATTTTTTATGCGCGATGTTTCCTCTTCTGAACAAACCGACAAACTTTGACAAATGTATATTTTTAAAAAGGGTATTTTATTAATTGAGCTAAGTATTGACCGACAAGTGACAATTTGTGATTCGATTCTAACTTCAGTGGCAGAATTCTTGTCATACTGCTAAAAATACTACAGTACATCCAATTAACAAATAAATATTGATTTATATTAATTTGAAAGCATGAATAGTTTACTTTATATAAATATACAGATTCGTAAATTCGCTCCGAGTATTTTGCACGTTATTCCTTTAACTATAAAATTTTGTTCATCTTTCACCATCTCTGAACCGGGTATTTCGGTCTATTAATCTGGAATCGCATGCGTTTTGGCTTGACGCCATCATCAGTGAAGCTGAGTCAATTGGATTTTTTATTTTTCCAGGAAACAATTTGAATTTCGCTTCCTAGTCGAAGTGCACCATTTGGTGGTTTTGTTCACTGTACGTAATTAAAATTATATTGTAATACAGTTCTCCTCTCTCTCTCTCTCTCTCTCTATCTATATGTCTACCTACAGCTCTCTTTCACACTCTCTCTTTCTCTTTCTCGTTCTCTCTCTCTCTCTCTCTCACACAACAACCATGCAAAGTTTGGTCTTCTGGATCTTTCAGGCACTTAACGTGGATGGATCATCAACACACACACACACACACACACAGAGAGAGAGAGAGAGAGAGAGAGAGAGAGAGTGAGAGAGAAGTGGAGACTTATGAAGTGGAAAGTGGCAAAAGGATGGAAAATTTGAACGGCTGTAGGTTGAGATGGAGAGTTGGTGTCCGAGTGGAGCGAAGTCACGATAACTCAAGTGGTAGAGCAGCGGCGTATTTAGCCGAAGGTCGTGGGTTCGAATCCCGCTCGTGACACTGACTTTTTTATTTCAACCCAGACCTTACATAGAAAGAATAATTAATTGATAGAAAGAATATTTGAAACGTTTCCCCAGATGAACTGATTAAACGCTCGCGCGCACGCGCACACACACACCAGAGAGAGAGAGAGAGAGAGAGAGAGAGAGAGTGAGAGAGAGTGAGAGAGAGGGAGAGAGAGTGAGAGAGAGAGTGAGAGAGAGAGGAGTTTAAATTCTTTCAACCTCTCCATAAATAATTTGTATGTATATTAATGAATTAATTTATGTGTGTACGAATAGGTGTACGGAATGAGAGAGAAATGATTCTGATGATGATGTTATACCTTACTTAACCAGGCCAAGTGCGTTCTTCTAGACCTTTCTACCATAAAACGCGGGTAGACCCATAAGAATAAATATGAAGAAAGAAAGAGTGAGCAAAAAGAAAATGAGTGATAGACAAGAATGAGAAATATAGATAAGAGGAACAGAGAATAATGGAAGAACATAATACATACATAAATCAAAGGCTTATCCTTGCCACAAATTCAATTTTTTCAATCCTGCCCTATTTGATCTAATCATATCTACATCTTTTTCACATGTACGCAATATTAACTAGCCCATTTTAAATTCGCTTTGAATAAAACGTAGGGTGAAAAATTCAATCGTATTATCTTACGGCAGGTGCGAAGTTGCACTAATTGAGGTATCCATCAGGAGAGATGAAACGTCATCTACAACCAGTTAATCAACGCGTCGTTTCAGAGCGGAAGGGTCACTGCCCCCGGGCTACTCCACGATGTCGTGGTTCTTCTTCTGTTCTGCCTCTTTTCTTCTTCTTTTTTCTTTTTCTTTGTCCCAATTAATTTTACTCGGACCTATCTCAACTGTGTTAATTTTATAGAATGTAGACCTCCTTTTTAGACCCCTTGTCAGCACTTGTAAGTGTTTTTGCTTAGGAGCCGTTTTGTACGATATACTGCCGGCAATGAGATAATTTGAATTATACTGCAGAAAAAAATCATCGCGTGGACAAAATGTTTATCTAATTTTGATAACGATTGGAGATTAGAAATCGTAATTTCTTATCAACGTTTTTCATTTGGGGCTCGCTTCAATAGATTTCTTTTAAAGGTACCATTGGCAAATAGACAGAAGGATGGTTGTTTAGCATGTAAATTATCTTCCCTTTTGTATTAACAATGTTGATAAATAATTTCGGTTTGAGGCCTAATAAGACAACTTTTTTTTTATATCAACGGAGAATCAACTATCCAGTGTCCGTAAGGCTAAACCTGAGCGTATTCCAGATTGGATAGTGTTACTGCAGTTCTCGGCAATGTTGGGACTGAGTCGGTCTGCAAATAAATTTAAAATCATTTATTAAAAACATAATCATGTCAATTTATAGACATATTTAAGATCGTCTTGCCCTGATGATGACCTTAAAATAGGTCGAAAGTTTGGCAGTAAAAATTAATTTTTTTTTATCAAGACCACACCGAGATCTAGATTATTCGTGAATAAAAAAGAAACAGATACATCTAACACTTTAAATATACATATATTTAATTAAAAAACATCATTATGCCTTGTGATAAAGTTCGAGCAATAGGGGCTCAGGAAAAAACTTACAAAAGCGCCCCTGTAAATTTTACACATTGGAAAAGGTTTTATTACTCTGCATTTTTTTCGCGCCAACTTGACCAACCGGTAAAAGCTATTGAGCTTTTAATGGCATCCTTGATGAATATAAATTATCACTCTTCAAAATTTGCGTTTATCTATCTTACAAGGGGAAAAGTTAATTTCAAAATTTGTGAATAGATAAAAATGATTCCAAATTTGGTTTTCTAATTACATTGCTCCTTTAGATTTCTTTCCTCCTGCCATTGTTACTTCTTACCTTCATACCCTCAAAACGACAATTACGAAAAAATACAAATTACAAAACATACTTCACACCCTAAATCTTATAGTTAGATTTATTTTATTTACATTGTTTGTTTATAATCTTAAATTAAAAACCTTTTCCTGAACGGTTTGTAATAGACCTTTCAAAAATTTCATGTTTACGTACATGAAAAATAAAATTGGATATGTTGAACAAGCGACCAATATTTTCATTGTTGAAAAATGGGAAAGTACAATTTTTAACATACCTCTATTACATTCACTAATTTCGTGGTCCGCTTGACCAATTAATATATTACAATTAATTAAGGTTTTTAGTTGAGATAAAAAGGTCAATGGCATGAGCGGGATTCGAACCCACGATCTTCGGCTAGATACGCCGCTGCTCTACTACTTGAGCTATCGTGACCTCCATCCACTCGGACACTAACTTCCCATCTCAACCCCACCTTTTTGAATTTTCCCTCCTTGAAAAATGGCAAAAAGGAGGGAAAATTCAAAAAGGTGGGGTTGAGATGGGAAGTTAGTGTCCGAGTGGATGGAGGTCACGATAGTTCAAGTGGTAGAGCAGCGGCGTATCTAGCCGAAGATCGTGGGTTCGAATCCCGCTCGTGCCATTGACTTTTTTATCTCAACTAAAAATCTTAATTAATTGTAATACCTCTATTATATTAATATTTTATATCTGTAATTTTGTACTGCTGCACAACAAACAAAGTTAAATTTAACTATTTTTAATATTTATTTTCGTTCATTTTATTATATATTTTTTAGTAATGCACTACCGTTAAAAGTGCATAAACATCAATAAACATCGGATGACAAAGCTTGG